AGATATTTACGTAAATATCTTAGAAAATAGAGGTCGTATAAAAAATTTTTTCAAACAAAAATTGTTTGCTTTTTCACGTAGAATAAAATGCCGTAATAAAAAAATATATATTTCTATCTAAAAAAGCAAAGTTGATCTTGTCCTGACCTTGACGACGTCACTTTAGGTCAAATAACTACTGTCATTAAATGCGATTTTTTAAGCCTTACAACTTTTATTCGAAACATTTTTCTCTAAAATGCTCCCCCGCCGAGTTTTCTTGCCGTTGTCAAACTTATGGGACACACTGTATACATACATATGATATATCTTCTAAGGCTTTTGTTCCTCGCCGCGGCCATTTTGATTTATGATATTCAAAGCAAGAAAATTCATGCTCAAGACATTTGCGAAATATGTTGAAATAGAATGATATTCACAAAATAAATGATACTCATAAAATAATATTTGCAAAATAATTGCGATCAACTGAGCAGATTTATAAAATAGTCCAAACATTTTCCTTTTGCTTTGACAATCAATAAATAGTCGTACAATTAACGCGATAGAATCACGAGAAAAAATAAATTAAAAAGGTAGGTTGTATGTCACGTTAATTGTACGATAATTCATTGATTTTTAGAGCAAAAGGAAATTTGTTTTACAAATCTGCTTGATCTGTAAAATAGATTTATAAGTGTTTTATGGATATTTCATTTTATTTCAATATATTTTGCAATAATTTTGATTCAACGTATTTTACATATATTTTCTTGCTTCTGATATCATTAATCAAGAGTTCCATGACTAGAAACTATAACCCTTAAAGTAGTTGTATCAAACGAGTTTTGTAAGAATTTTTTTCGTAAAACTGTCTCTCTTACACTACACACAGTAAAATATTATATAACTGCTCATGCAAATAGAAAAAGAAATTAACTGTTCGAGAGTTGAGATATATATATTTGTATACAAAGTTGACACTTTTTATACATGTTTTTTGAAGCTAACGTGCTATTTTTAATTTCAATTTTTTATAACTTCTAAACTTATATACGATAAAAAATTATATTTGATAAGTTTTTATAAAAAAAATTTATATTAAAGACAAATATTAAAGACATATATACAAATCTCTAAGTATATATTACATACTAAATCTCTTGATCATTTTGTTTTCAAAATACGGTGGTGGAAAGTTCATAATTTATAATAAGACTCGAAATATGTATACATATGTTTTAATACTTATAGATCTCTTTCTGTTATCTATATATTTCTATTAGATATACTGATGCATAAATAAAATATAGACGAAATAAAAATCATAATTTTTTTATATTTATAATTACATATATATAAATTTCATTTCAAATTAACGTGATATATGTAGATAATGAAATAAATATTTATAATCGTAATTTCGTTTGATAATAATAATAAATAAAGGTTTGATAATAATAATAAATAAAGGTTTGATAATAAATTTATAAGTGATTTATGATAATAAATTTATAAGTGATTCTAATTAATACATTACTGAAAATACGGTACCTAGCGATATACCATAAAGCGTAATGTTTTTGATTTTCATAAACAGATGTGTAACAGTGAATATTAGTTCTATTACAAGAATTGTATTAGTTAAGAAATTCATTCTTCAGTCAACTTTTTTTAACTTTAACTTTATTATATTCAAAGGAAACAAATTGTTCGTCAAATAAGTAACCGCTGCCATTGTCTGTGATCCATCGTCGTAGTTTCAGAAATATTCGTATAGTATCACTATTGCAGAAAGTGTCTAATTTGCTGCCGAGAAAATCGAACTTCTTGACCGATTTAATAATGATTAGTCTTAGACATGCAGAGTAATGCTTAAAGAAGATTATGGAAATAATGTTATCGTTTATGTAACCATACCTAAATCTAACGATAAAGGTAGCATGAGCTATTAGGGAGATACTTTTACTACAGATTTTCAGCGTAGCAGAAATTACGATTGGTTCAGTAGTAACGTTCTCGAGCGCGATTATCAGATATACGTGCGCTGATACGAAAGTACAATTACCTTAGGACGCGGGGTTCCCGTTGCTTTACACGAAAGGGTCACGTCTCCTTTACCCATTTCGATTTTGGTCGCTGGGCCGATAACGGCGATTTTCGGTCTGCACGCGAACTCGTCGCTGTCAACTTCGTCCCACGTCTTGCCGGTCATGTTGGGCGGCTGCAGGCAAGTGGTCGGATTTGTGTACAGCTTATTCTCGATCGTCCAGTCGCGGAGCTTTCTGAGATGGCAGTTACAGTTCCACGGATTATTTTTCAGGTCGAGACTGCCGAGTTTGGGCAGCTTCTCGAATCTCTGCAGCTGCAGGGAACTGAAGTTATTGCTGTCTAGCACGAGGGAATTCAAATTCGGCAGATTGAGGAATGCTCTCTCCTCGATTCGCTCCAATTTGTTGTTCGACAACAACACCTTCTGCAGGAACGTAAGATTGACGAACAGATCGTTTTCCAGCACCCGCAATCTGTTCTGATTCAACAGCAACACTCTCAATCTCTGCGTCTCGTGGAAGATACCCGATTGCAGACTCCGGATATTATTGCCCGACAGATCGATCTCTATAATGATCTTTAGGCCGCTGAAAGCGTCTATGTCAATCGACTCTATGCCGCATTCGCGCAGCGTCAATTTGTGCAGATTCACCAGGTCGACGCGACTGAACGCACTGCTTGTGAGATTAACGAAGCGGTTCCCGGTGAGATCGAGATTCTGGATCTCGGAAGAAAGACCGCCAGGGACCTGTGTGAGATTTTGCTTGATGCACTCGGCGGTCTTCTTGCCGGACACCCATTTGCATTTGCAGCTAGACGGACATTGCATCCAGTCCTCCTGGCCTTGACACAGAACGATCATAAGCGCCGCGCAGAGCAGCCAGCCTGTCGTCCTCCGTCCCATCTCGAGGAATCCTGTTAACAGCGGCAATGCGCACGGCACCATTAGAACGTGACTGCGAGACCGCGACCGCAGAACTTACTTAGCTGAACGGAGTTGCATGCATGAGGACGCGCGAGTTTCGTCTTTCGCGGAGAGGAGGGGGAGGGGGGATATATTCCGTGTACGGCATGTAACTAATATATCCTGGGTACGGCTTAATATTTATCGGCGCGTGACTAGTTTCGAGTTTTGGGTGTAGCCTATTATTGATAGTTAAACGCGGACGTAGATCAATGTTAATTAAATGATCGAATAATCATATTACAATTACGCGAGCTGAATTAATTATTAGCGAATAATACGCGGCGCTTAATAATTTTGAATAATTTATACGCCATACAAATCATCCCACGCGCTATTTGACACTTTTGGTTAATGTACGGCGATATAATTGTCCGCGTGGCTATATGTGTGTACATTACCCGTAATGATTCCATACTGATAAACGTTGTCGTGCGTATTTCAAATAAATTTCCAATTTTATTCGCGCAACGCATTAGCATCATACTTTATATGTATACATTTTAGTACAGTTATGTTTTAACACATATTATTTCATTTTGGTATATATTGCAGGTGACTCTTGAATAATATTGCTAAAGAGATGCTGAAGTCGATGATAAACTCGAATAGTAACGCAGCGATGATCGTCACTACCACAATCACGCTATCATTTTCTTCTACATACAGAAATTATCTTGATGTGTATTGCTTCGTTTTAGCATATTCAGTCGAAACCACACATCGTGTTCAAAAACACAGCAATTTTCCGAGATGGAATCTATAAGCTGCTCGAAGGATGGTTTAAAGTTATGAAAAGCAACGGCGAATTGATTGAAAAATTTATTTTATTGTTTTATTTTTCAAAATTAATTAATTAATTAATTTTTTGTTGATAAACTTTTAATATTTTTGTTAAATATAAACTTTGAATGTTTTGTCCGAAAAATTTGGATTATTTATTTGTACACTTAATACATATACGATGTATGGAACATTAACCGTCGGACACTTTATATATTATTTATAGACATAATACATCTAGATCGAGCGTTGAGGAGTGGGGATAGAGGTTCACGTAGAAAAGAATGCACTGTGCTTTGTGTACTTGCATTCTCTCTTATTTGCGCATGTATTCAAGAGTGTATGTAAGAGAGATTAGTAAAGAGAAATGAAGGAACGAGAAGCTGAGACTGAAAACCACATGTCTTTTGCATTAAATTAATCGAATAATTGATCAAAGTTGGATAATGCATGTATATTTGCTAGTCAAAATTACAAAGAAAAAATTTTCTTGTTTTCTAAATATAAGTTATTGCGGAAATTGTCTATTTATACATAAAAATACATATATCCTATATAAACTTTTTACCTAAATGTTTCAAATATATAAGAATGTATAATGTACACTTAGTAAGTATATCCCAGCACATCTTTCAAAAAGCTTTTCAAAAGATAACTTGGAAATTATATTGAAATATATAATTAAAATAATTCAGAAATATTTGTGAAACGTTGGATCAAAACCTTATTCACTGAAATATTTCAGAAATCACTTATATAATAAGTGTTGATTTATACATAAATATTTATACATAAATATTTATACATAAATTTAATTAATTTAATTAAAAATCTTATATGGTTAGGTGGATTTTTTTTTAAATTGTACTTTTTTATAATTACTCAAAGTTTATAGTCTTTTAAGCTTTATTTATTTAATATCAGTTAACAATAATAAAATTTAAAGATAACAAAATGGAGGGTGCGGGATTTTATAGACCTCATCTCATTACCTAAGGGTTAAATTAACAATAAAAGTACGAAAAAAATATAATTTTTATTAAAATTAAATCATTTTATTAAATAATATTATCAAAAATTATATTATTGTGTTAATTACAACACATATAGACAAAATGTAAGATGTTTATATCGATCAAAGAAGTCTAGTGTCCAAAGCAACAGACTCTCATAATCCAAAGGTGCCTGTCAGGGTCCAAGTTTCGAGTCCTACCAATGCTAGTAAGAATTTTTAAACGTGATGTAACATTGGAATCTCAGATAATCTAAAATTTTCAGATAAAACCAGCAAACACTGTGATATTTACAAATAGTTTCTAAATATAAAAATATAAATAGTTTCTGTATATAAAAAAAAGTATCTGAAATATTTCTCATATATTTTTTAAACATTACAGTAACATTTTTATACATTTCAGATAATACATCATAGCGGACATTTTATGTATCTGAAAGGTATTTAGAACATGTCTGAAATATTTCTTTGAAATGTTTCATATTTTATTGTAAGCTTCCGAACAGCTTTCTGAAATATGTTGGTGTTGTGTGGAATAGTAGTAAGTACACTTAAACACACTAAACTATACACTTAATTACAGTAGTAAGTACACTTAAATACACTAAACTATACATTTAAACACTTAAAATATAGTAGACACTTAGCAATAATAGTATGAAATATATAGAATAATAAATATAATATACGAAACATATATGTAGCACTTCACCATTGTGCACGTAAATTTTAATCGCACTTCTGCTTTTACGCACAGTTTATTTTTATCTTTCTTTGTAATTTTGACTAAAGTAAATGCATGCGCATGATCTAACTTTTAGCAATTATTCGATTTTGCTGCACAAGACATATGGCTTTCAGTCTTCCTTCCTTTGTTCCTTTTTACTACCTACCCTTTCTCACACATTCTCATACATTCATATACATGCGCGAATGAGAGAGAACGCAGGGTCACAAAACACAATGCACCTTTTTCTACCTGAACTTTACCCTCACTCTTCAAATAAAGGCAAACTCTCTTCAAATAAAGGCTCGGTCTAGATATATTATGTCTATGATATTATTATTCAAAGTATATTATTAATCCAAAGTGTATCTGAACGTCCGATGTTTGAGTTCCGCGCGCTTTAGATACGCTCAACATCGATCAATATATGTTTAATGTCCAAAGTACAGTTTCTTACGATGTTGCTTGACAACTGTTGCGTATCGTATACTTGTGTCTTCCACATGCAACGAGAAGAATGCTTTATGAGCAACGTGGTGTCTTCTTATATCACAAAGTTTGATGTACGTGTGATTTCAAAATATTGCACAGAATTTATATGCGACATCACTTATAAGATGTTGAGTAAAATGGATTCGTTAGTAACGAGAAATGAGAATTCCGCTTGGCGAAAACTTATGGCGGACAGCTAACAGTAACGAGGGAAAAGCGGAACGCACACTACCGGGTGTAAATTGGTTCTTTTTAACAAGAGGGTAACGTAGATGAGCGCGCCATCTCTAGGCTTCGGATATGTACCTCTCCAGGGGGCAAAAATCCAGAAATCAAGCGCGTCTTTTATTAAGGTATACCCAGATAAACTTGCAAAGTCGCATAATGCATATGCAATTGACCAATCGAGTGTCTAATATAAAAGTTATCTTTTTGCTGCACGGATCATGATTGGTTGGTTTCTTTACGTGTATTCAATATGCGATTATGCAAGTTTGAATATACTTTTATTTTTTTATTTATCTGAATATACTTTTACTCTCGCGCGCGACCGATGTCAAATGCAATACAATAAACAAAATTCACTGTAATATTAATTGCGTTAAAATTATCGGTGTTACTGCTCATTTATTATTTATATATGGATTCGACGTACCCAGATAGAACAGACAATCGAAATATTACTAATCTGACGTCATTTTGACCAAATATTAACCAAATTCACGTCATTTTTTTGGTAAAAATAACGTTAGATTATTTTGACTATTTGTTCTATCTGGATATTGATCCTTTTCATGTTATTGATTTATATGTCCAACATAGACATAAGAATAGATAGAGTGTGCCCAATACTTTGCCAGCGAAGAAAAAAGAGAAAAGATTAAGTAGAAAGAGATGGAAGGCAAAGATTGTATCTCTTTCTCTTTCTAAATCGCACCATAAGAGAAAGATGGAAATATGATGTTCGCTCTTTTTATAATATGTGATTTTCAGGCCTCGCACCTTATACTCGGTCTATTATCATTATGTTTATCATATAGCAATCGGCAGAAATCGCGAGAGTTAAAGATATACTGACAAAATATACTTGAATATTTAATTGTGAGGTAAAATTTATTTTACGGAAATATAAATATTATATTTCACAAATAAATTTTCAAATATTTTTCTCAGGGTATACTAGAGTTTCTATAAGGATGCTATTTATAGTCAGACATTATATTTAAGATTATCTTAAATTTATCTTCACATTGTATGGATTATTTTATTGGCCGTGGAGTATCTCTGAAGAGAGTCTTAGGCCGGTATTCATAGTCAGATCTTATATTTAAGATTGCTTAAGTTCATCTTTAGATACTCCGTAGCCAATGAAATAACCCGTACATCGTCTGAAGATAAACTTAAGCGGTCTTAAATATAAGATCCGACTATGAATATCGGCCTTAAGGCTGTATTCCGATATTCACTGCCAGTACTGAAAATCTATAGTTCATATTACGTATATTATAGATTTTCAGTACTAACAGTATCGGAATATCGGAACGCAGCCTAAATATAGGGTCGCATTGAATACAGACCCTAAGGATTTGGGGCCCGATTCTCGACATGAAACGAATGAGATGCGCATGCGAAAATTCTATATTTCACGTTGCATGTACTATAGATTTTCGCATGCCCATCTCATTTGTCTCACGTCGAGAATCGAGCCCCTGGGCATTATTCCTATGACCATATTTAAAAAAAAACCAGTTTACAGTCATAATGTACAGAAAGTTCAAATATCGATTAAACAATTTTAAATAGTTGTTTTCAGATGATTTAATAATGATATTTTTTATGTTAACATGTCGTAAATAACATATTGTAAATTCACTGTAATATTAATTGCGTTAAAATGATCGGTGTTACTGCTCATTTATCATTTACATATGAAT